AGGACCGAGATGAGCTGCGCGAGCGCGCCCGTCTCGACGCGGACCAGCTCGAGGTCGACCACCAGCGGCTCGCCCTCCTGGTCCTTGGGCACGTTTGGCCGCTGCAGCGGCGGGATCTGGTTCCAGCGAACCTGCACACGGCGGCGGCCGCCGATCTTCATCGGCTCCGCGCCCGATTCGAAAGAGCCTCGAAGCGCGTCGGCAAAGATCTCGACATCGTGCTTGCCGAGCGCAAAGGTCAGGGGGAAGCGGCCGCGCGAGGAGCCAAGCTCCTCGCCGCTCGCAAACTTCACAGAGTAGTGCAGCACGACCACGTCGCCCTCTGCCGGCTGCGCTCCGGACCCGACGGTGTCGTCGGAGAAGCGGTACTTGCCGAGAGGAAGCCAGTCAGCAGCGGCTGGCTTCACCGCAGGCTTTGCCTCGGTGGCTTGCTCGGGGGCGGTGGCGACGATACGCGCGCGAGCGGCCGTGACGGGCGGGCGGACGCCGGCGAGGAAGGCAAGCGAGATGCTGAGCGGCGCGAGGAAGGAGAGCATGTGGACTGTACCCGACAGCGGCTTCTGATGGATGCGGCGCAATGCAAGGGCCCCGAACTGACGTATAAATTTCGCGGAAACATCCGAAATGTCTTTCTTTTGGAGTGGGTTGCGGGCATTAAGAAAAACAGCGCTGGCGCCGCCGCCGTTTCTTAGCCTTTCCACACCCCTCACCCACCCCACGCCGTGGTTTCTTGGCTCCGACGCTAGTAGAGAGAGAGGTAGATAGAATTCTTGTACTTGTTGGTTTTCAAAAATCTCTCTAAAATATCTCTCTCCGTGGGGAAACCCGGTACGCGGGGCTAACCCTCGGAGACGCGTGTTTATTTTACGGCCCTAGCTTTCCCTGCGAACGCGCACCGAATCAAACGCGAAATGGACGAACTCCACACTCTCTAGTGAGTGAGGACTCACGTCATATGTTCATATGTCACATATACAACACGTGTTTGAGTGGGGTTTCACAACCTGGATTTTCCTTATTTACACGCAGATTGTGTCCCTGACGCGTTCTGTACATGCCAGCCACCCCCCCCCCCCCCCCAAACTCACTCGGAAAACCTTTGCACTCACCAGGCCTGAACATGTCCACTAACCGTGCGGCGCGTTGCGTGCCGAGTCCTTGAGGGGGCGGAAGGCTTCGTGGAGAGAGAGTGGATTCAATTCTCACGCACCGCGCGGCCATCAGGCCGCCGCATCGGCGCGCCTTGCACGACAAGGCACCGTTGTGACGTTTCCAATGAGCGTGCTCTGCAGCGCCCACAGGTATTCGATATCTCGCCGCAACCGCAGCACCCCCGCCCCCTCAATACGAACAGTGTAGACGGGCACATGCAACAGCGGGGCAACTGCGCGCGTCTCATCCTCTCTCGGTGGGGAGTCAGCGAGGCAGAGGAGCTGCGCGCCACCCGTTGGCTGCCGCGGCGAGCCGGTAGAAAAGAGCGGCGACCGGGTCGGCCGCGCCATCGGCCGGCGCGCTGCGAAGCCCCTCGTGGAGCATCACCAGCGCGTGCCCGCTCGCGCCCGCCCCGCAGCGCCCGCGCGGCCGCGCGCCACGGAGGTTTCCAAGAAAGGTCAGCACGCAAGTTTGGGAAGGTTTGGACGGCGATCGCCGTCAGCCGCACGGGCGATACACATGCGTTCCTCCTTGACGGGCTGGGACTCAGAGGTCCTGGGCGGTCCAGAGGCGTGCCCCACCTTGCCCCACCCCCAACCGCCCTCCCCAGACCCCGCATTCTTTCTCGCGCCAACTCACATGCGCTAAACACAGAGCGGGGTACGGGTGACGACTGACCAGAAGTTGCCTGGACCTCTGGGGTGCCCCTCATGACCCCCCTGTGACTCCCCTGACTGCACCCCAGCGCTCTCATGCCACTCCTCCCTCCTATCATCAGATCTCTCATACCGCCAGTTAGTTGCTCTGGAAGCAAGTCTCAAAAGTCTTTTTGCTGGAAGAGTCATTTGAGTTTGAGCAAAGGCCTTTGGGTTTGGCTCATAACTTGTTTGCTCCACAGAATAAGTTGTTCTGGAAACATGAGGATCGAAGGCAACTAGCGGTGGGTCATGCTTG